TTCCGAAGTTCGGCGATCATTAGGGCGACTTTCGTTCTTGACACCGCGGCTCTGAAAAGTGAACGGGTGCTCTTTCCATACCACTGGCGAAGATTTTTGAGCCAGGACATTATGCTTACTGTATTGATGGGTGGAAGGTTATTTGTTTTAAGCGCCATTAGGTTAAATGTTCACGAGAGCCAGTTAAAGTTTTCAAAAAAAAAAAATAGAATTTAAAACTAAAAAAATGCGAAAGTTTAGATGGATGGATCTCGATTGTCGTAGATGTAAGCAAAGTGTAGAACATGTAGTCTACGATTCCGCGTTTCGTCTGAAGAGTGTGGTGCCGGAGGCCTAATTTTAGTCCCTTTTCCTTTCCACCCTTTTCTTAAGCGGAAATGATGGGAAGGAAAAGTGGATTTGACAGTGGAGGAGACGCATAGGAAGGGGAAACGTTCTTTTTATGTGCGTCTCCACCGTCAATTAAGGGTAGGCAACGCATCTGCAATTGCGGATGTTTATAGGCAGCGGTCGCTTTCCATTTCGGTGGATTCAGGTGGCCGCTTGCTCGATTGCCAACCTTATATTATAAAAAAAAATACTTTTGTTAATTCCACACAAACGGAATCGCATGCGAAAGCTACTAACATAAATACTAAAGTTTAGATGGATGTATATCGATTGTCATAGACGTAAAGCAGTCCAGAAGAATACATATTCACTTTTTTCTGTGTTTTTTTTTTTATTTTTTTTAATTATCTTACTAATATTATAAATGCGAAAGTTTGGATGGATGGATGTTTGTTAGAGTTTGTACCCTAAACGGCTGAACGGATCTCGATTAAATTTGGCAAAGACGTAGAGAATAGTCTGGAAGAACACATAGGCTACTCAGTCTTGTTTTTTTTTTATTCCACGCGGACAGAATCGCGGGCGAAAGCTAGTAAACAATAGTTTTTAATGTATTTCCAGGGTGATTCAACTATCTACTGCTACGAGGTGACGTGCGAGCTGCCCTACCTGTGCGCGCTGTCGCACCACCGCGCGCACTCGCTGCACCAGGGCATCGCCTTCCTGCACAAGAACCTCGTCGCTGTCGAAAAGGTATACATTGACGCAAAAGTACAGTCGCGGATATCCGCGGTGTTCCATTTTATACTGTTGTATCGAAGTATTTGTATTTAAATAACTCACTTTTCCGAGTGGTAGTGCCCGCTTTCATATCTTCGCATGAATGGCACTCCAGGTGTACCACGACACAGAAGACAGGGGTGAAGTGGAAGTAATTCCGTGTTTCGTCTGATGAGTGTGGTGGCGGCCTAATTGAAGTCTTACCGCCCTTTTGTTATAGAAAAGGACGGGAAGGGAAAATGGATTTGACGATGGAGATTCATAGGAAGGAGAAATATCCTCTTTATGTGCGTCTCCTCCATCGTATAAGGGAAAGCAACGCATCTGCAATTGTGGATGCCTATCTAGCCATCGCTTCGCCATTTTGGCGGATTTTGGCCGCTTGCTTGTTTGCCTTCTTATGTTATAAAAAAAACGCAAAAACTAGGCCGATTTAAAATTCTTTTACTGTTAAAAGCTACGTTATCACTGTAACAAAGGCTACATTTTTTAATTCCACGCGAACATAGTCGCGAGCGACAGCAAGTGTTGTAAAGAACGAGTAATAAATACATTATCACTCAGTTACGGGCTATATTAAATTTATAGGGAATTTTTAATTTTGAGAATCGCACTTACGTACAATCTTCCTGTGACGTCACCGACTTGTTAGATTATACGTGAGTCGTATTAAATTAGTTTTTACTATATCACTGTAAACTTTAAATAAATATTTAATAATATATTTGTATATAAATTTCAGGTGGAGTTTGCGAGGGCGTTGCGGTTAACAAATGGAAATATCGAACCGCTGTCATTTACTGTGCCTAGGATAAAGGTATAGTAACTTGTTGATTTTTATGTGAAAAAGCTATCAAACGAGCATCAACAGAGTATTACAAAGGTAGATGTAATTAGAAAGAGATGGATTTCGATGAAAAAACAGTAATGAGTTAAGTAAAAAAATAAATCAACAGTAAGCGACAGGCTGGCTTAACGTGAACTGCATGACCAAAGCTGCGAAGTTTTCAGCCTTTCCATGATGGAAAGAAGTGAAAAATAAAAAAAATATATTTATTTATAGAATGTTATTTAAACTTACCTAGTATATTAGAGAACGTCTGAAAGTGGTAGAGAATTTAAGGAATAAAGGGTTAGTATGGTATGGGCATGTTTTTTTATCAGCGTGGTGGGTATACCGATAGAGGTAAATGTAGAAAGAGACGGATGGATTGCGTGAAAGATAGTTACTTGAAGGAGAACCCGGTGCGCTGACACTACGGGAATAGGATAAGATAGGGAAAATAATGAAACAAAATTTGTAGTTTATTTTAATATAATAAATACATTGTGTTATTCTATTTTATTTCAGAGCGAGTTGTTCCAAGACGACTTGTTCCCGCCGACGCTGGTGACGTGGGAGGCGTGGCAAAGCGCGCGCGACTGGCTGGCCGGCCGCCGCGCCGCGCCCCGCACCGCCTCGCTGCAGCCGCCCGGCATGCTGCCGCGTTAGTCACATCATATCATATCATATCACATCACATCGCATCACATCACATCACATCACATCACATCACATCACATCACATCACATCCCATCACATGACACAACACACGGCAATGTACTGCATTACTCCACGTCACATATCACACCGCATCACATCACACCACATTACACCGCAACTTACTGCTTCAAACCACATCACATATGACATACTGATTAGTACATTGATGGAAATGCCTTGTTCATTGCAACGAGACAAACTCCGTTTCCTACAAATAATTAATTAGACAGCAGTGAGTGCACACGAAGGATAAAAAGAAAAGGAAACTAGCCGTGTATTGCTAACCGCCTTTTTCGTACAGATACATTTATAAACTGCGTTATATTGGTTCCTGTTCTGCATTTGGGTTCAAAATGTTCAAACGATTATAGCTTTTAAAGTGGAACACTGCGAGTTTCCCCGATTGTACATGATACATTTTATAAGTAATTCTTACAATTTATTACTACTTTGAAATACGACCATTTAATAATTGGTATTTTTTTTATTTATGTAGTAAAATGCTTTTTTATAATAGTTTCGGAGCACACGCCGTCGCCGGGATCACGAGACAAGCCTAAAGAGACTCAGAAACCGAAACCCGATCTCATCAAATCTCACGTGCCTCTAGACAACAAGGATAAGCAGGATAGTGTAAGTACTCACAGTTATTCAGTCCCTTAGTGTAGATTTATTAATATTAATCTACATTTAGGGGAGCGTAATGTTTATAGTAGTAATTTAAAGCGTTTTATAGACATTTTAAACTCATTTTTAAAAGGTTTTTAGTTGATTTCAATTCCTCTGTATTTTCTAAATATATTAATAACTACCTAACGCCCGCGACTCCGTCCGCGTGTAATTAAAAACCATACGAGAATGTTCTATGTGTTTTTTAAAGACTGTTTAACATTAGTGACATATTTTATCGATATCCGTCCAGCCGTTTCGGAGATATTTAGTAACAAACATCCATCCATACATCTAAATTTTTATCTTACTAATATTATAAATGCGAAAGTTTACATGGATGAATTTATATTGGCTGAACTGCTAAACGGATCTCGAACTTTTTCGTAGATGTTAAGGATAGTCTGGAACATTTACGATATCTACTTTTTTAAAATTCAATGCTGATGACATCACGAGTAAAACCTAGTATATAATATTACTATGATATATAAGATTCTTGTACCCAATCTAGGATATTTACAATAATAATTATAGTAAGGTTCAAACTCTCGACTTTAAGGGCTTGTCCCACCAAATTGTAAATTGTCTGATTTTTTTCCCCATATCTGGCAATGACGTCATTTTTAAGCTATCTGAGCCTTTATCAGCCAGTGGTGGGACAGGCCCTTACTATGAATTGTGATTTAATTCGCTACTAGTGTCTTGTAATTTGTTTTAAATTAGGTTTTGTTTTTCCAGATTTTAAAATCAATGAGCGCCCGAGTTCAAGTTAACTTGAAGTTGGAACAGGACAGTATGGAAGGAGTCGATGAGTCGGAGTGGGACCAGTGATTTTATACTGTTGTACTCAGAGACGTTAATGTTCACTTAACCCCTTAACTGTGATTTTCCAAACATTTCAAAAATTATATTTCATGCAAGATCCGTATAATAAAGGGAAAACAATAAAGAAAAAGTAGCATCCAAATTTAAAAAAAAAATCATAAATGTTTTTTTTACTTTTTTTAATTTTTTAACATTTTTTATTATGATAAACTATATCGTATATCGTTCAGAAATTCAAATTTTTGGTAAAAATAAATAAAAATCGTAAGATTTTTTAAAATTCAAGTTTTTTGGAATGTTTTTTTTACAGTGCCCATCTAAGGGTTAACATTAGTGAAGAAGTGAGCAATAGCACTCTGAGTGTGAATACTTTTATAAACTGACCGAGACTTGAAGTTCGATTTTTTATCAATTTAAGTGGTAATGAAGTTTGCTATTATTTTTTTCAGTACTTTAAATTACTGTAATGATTCTGATTTTTGGTCTGGTCAGTAAAATTTTCTTTAATATGTATGACTATAGTCTAATATATCGACTATTTATTAATTTTACTCTTAAACTATATCTGTTTTCAATAGAAACTTAAATAATTCGGAAATTGTTGAAAATTTTAGTTTGAACCTAGTTTTTTTCTATGTATATTTAGATCCGTCTTTTATATACCATATCCTATTCAACGTGTTAATTGAACTTTAAGTAACAATTTAAGACTAGTCTCGCTAAGGGCCGGATTCTGAAACGAAAATTAAACGTTAAGTACCGCTTACAATCTGACAGATGTCAAATTTTAATGGAATGTAGGACGCAAACGCTTACATATTTAAATGTTTTAGTAATCGGTGAAACACTTAAACGATACTTTAATGCCTTTATATGTAAAAAAAAATGACTCATGTTTAGGACCCTCTGGGGTCCGTAATTATTTAAAAAATCATAAAAAAATATAAGAATGGATTTTTAAACTAATATTTTAAAAGGCGTTGAAAAAAGATTCTCAAATTTAAGTAATTCCTAATAATGATCTCAATAACAGTGAGTTTCCATTGACGTAACATGTTTCAATTTACTTTAAAACATATACAATGTTCGATAAATGAAAACTCAGTAGGACCAAACATTTATGACAACTTAATTTGCTCATATTATAACAAACTTAATATATATAAATATACATTAATACCTAATATTGAGGGAAATGTAACAAAATTATAATAATTTACTAGCCTTTTCTAACATCTATGTCAGATATTTAAGAAATATATAGACCAGACATAAACAATTTTACCGGTAACTTCTTTGAAAGGTACTATGTTAAGTGCCATCTCGTATTGTATTGACAATTAAAAAAATATTTATAAGTAATAAGCTTCATCTTTTGTTAAAAAACAAAACTAACAGTGTTAGAAAATAATATTAACGTTTAAATATTATTCGACTAGCTGTTCCCGTGCGACTTCGTCCGCATAAGATTATATACATTTAATTTTATTGTCCACATTTGTCAGATTATCAATAGCAAATGTCAAAATGACATGACATGACGACAATCTTGCTTCCTTGATGTTGGCAGCAACTTATGGTCTCTTTCCCACATTAGGGTTTTTATCCAAAATGTTTACCCCTAAGTTTAACGGCGTGAAAATATATAGCCTAAAGCGTGACGTAAGTAGGGCTTTTTATTAAAAAAAGGATTATTCAAAAATATGCTGTAATTGCTGACATCTTAGGCAACAAAGAAGTGTGTTTACGCTTTATTATAGTATAGATGACAACTATTGGCAATTTAAATACAATTAGTTTTATTAACATGGTTTTCAATCTAGATAAGATTGCGTAAGAAATAATGTGAAAAATGTTTCAAATAAATTGTCAACTATGTCTACTCTATATATTTGTTGAATCTATAACTTACAAGGATCATAGGGTAGTTGGTAATTTTGTGAACTAACAATCTCTTTAAAAGTGTCATATTTTGACCAATTAACGGCAACTGCACATTTTTTTTTAGTATTGAAATTCGATTTAATATAAATCAGTTTAGTTTCCTTTTCAGTATGGGAAATTTCGAAAGAAATAAGGATTTTTTTGCTTACTGGTAACTCTAAAAATTAGTATATGCGAATAATAAAAACTGCTATAAGATCTTTGTAGGTCTATAACTATGATAATCTGACTTATGACATTTAAAATTCGATACATTATTGTCAATTGTAACTGACAATAGTGTGTTGTATTCAATATTTGGAAATACTTTGTAAAACAACCGTTTTTATGTAATTTTTAAACGACATTGAAATGAAGGAATGGACCCTCGATTTTCTTCCTCATTTTGATTCCTGTATTTTTAAACAATTTTTTATAATACATTGCATTTAATATTATAACGCATTTAACTACGGGCCTGTCCCACTACTAGTTGATAGTGGCTCAGATAGCTTATAATAACGTCACTGTCAGAAGGTAACAAAATACCATTTCCATCACATATTTTACACATTCAATTGTTGACAGTTTACAGTTTAGTGGGACAGGCCCTTAGTGTTTTACACTGATATGTTCTTCTAGATAGGCTATCTGAAGTATTTTTTGCCTATTTGAATTCCGCCATTTTGGAAACTAACTACGAGAAAATAAATATCCAGCAATAAAGGTCGGTTGAACTATTTCACATTCCCGATGCCATATGGAATGCATTTACTTTTTTGTATGAAATATATAATGTATGTATAACTTTATATATAGGGGATAGGTTATTTGTACTCATTAGGGAATTGATATAACGTAGTCACGTAGTACCGCTAGTTGATGCCATAAGATATCTGATTGCTCAAGACGCCAAAGAATCACGTAAACAAGTTTTATTTACAATTTCTCTCCAAGTTTTATATGAAATTCATACAAGATTGTCTAAGAAATACCTAGAACCAAAGACGTTTAAATGGTATATAGACGAGGCAATTTTTTCATCGGTATTTTCTCTGAAAGGTATTCAAGTTTAGTGCCACCTTGACATTATTTTACAAAATTATAATAAACGCCATCTTTGGTATTAAATTTATATTATGTGATTTTTTTTAATAAAATATCAATGCCTCCTCTATATATTTGAATCTCTTTGTCTAGATTATACAAAATCATGTACAGTCGCGTTCATTGTTCAATAAGCAATTAGTTTGAAATTACAAAGGTATGTAATATGTATTCTAGACGTAAAAGGAAAATCCACAATTTTTATTTAGTCAAAACAGTTCTTGTAATTAAAACTGCATCACCTTCAACGTGTGTGACTGTACATCACCTTTTACATAATTTCGTAACACTCGTAGTAAAAAAAACAAAAACAAAAAATTTCAATGAATTAATTTGATGTTTTTTTTTTAATTTAAAGTTTGTTGATTCTAATGAAATTGATTATTAATGTAATTCGAAACATTTCTTCGCTAATTACGCATAGGTGAGGGAAACACTCAATGAATATTACCAATTTTGACTTTAGTTTTATTGGCGTATTTTGTATTAAAAAAGAATCTCATCTTTAGGTGTAGAGATAGCAAATTAAGATATTTTTTAACATTCGTCTTGAATTTTTATGATATCGATTAATCGAATTAATGATTATTCGCTTTACGCTAGTCAAAACTTAAATCGATTACTAATTTCCTTATAAATTGTATAAGAAAAATGAAATACAACAATTATAGTAAAACATTTTATTAACAACATTTTTGCACAAAATTACATCGAACAGTAATTAAAACTTTTTATATAATGGCAATACAGTAAAATACATTTAATTTCTCTATATACTCACAGTATAAAGCACTAATTTAAACGCACTCAGTTTTTTACATAAATATGTATTTTTGTAAAGATTTTTACATACTCAAATAGCATTTAACAGCACACAGTAGTTAACATTTGTCATAAAGATTTGACCTTTAGGGCCTGTTCCACCACTGACAGATTAAAAATGACGTCATTGTCAGATAAGGTAACAAAATCCGATATAACCATTACATATTTTACGTGCTCGATTATTATCAAACAATTTCCAATTTGGTGGGACAGGCCCTTAGTCATTCATTCGTTCATATCCATTCACAAGTACGGAAGTAATCCAGGGTGTATATTTTTATTTGTAACCAATTACGTATTAAATGCGCGTAGCTTTGCCGATGTCTCCCCTTCCAGATAACATCGACAATGTCCCTAACTCGTCTACTCTGGCTTTAAACAATGTGAATTTCATAGGATTACTGCATAACAGGCCGATACCGGCCTGCCGCGGTATTTATGCTGGTGCGACGAAGAAAACTATGTCTCTCTCGCTAGTAAGAAACAATTATCTCAGGTGTATACATTACATTACATAAAATGTTTGTTTTTGTAACCATTATGTTTCCACAAAGTTTAAACTATCCTAGTGCTGGTGGGTCTAGAAAGACCTGTCACACAATGGGTGAATTGGGGGCGCATTTCGGCCCGCCGCCGCACCAGATGAAGAATTATTTTATTTTCCGCAGTAAACGTGTTAATTATCGATATCGTTACAAAAGTCCAAAATATAGAACTGACAATTATTGTATAAAAGTGACTTGCTTGATACTTTGTCTAAGTCCAGTACCGTTATGCGTGACGTCACAAGGACATGGGCAAAGTTACGCACGTGTAATATGTACCTAAATATAATTTAAGTGATATTTAGGTTAATTTTTAGTTTCTTATAACCTCAAATTGTATTTTATTTTATAATAACCAATTTATGTCATTTTGATTCTTGCATGAATTCGAAATGAACGAAACAACGTAAAAATATCTCAATTCCTTCCACAAAGTTGTGAATTGACAATAATTTCAAACTCTTCTGACAGTTTGTAATGCTTCAATTGGAATGTTGGTGCCAAAATTCATATTATTTCGTCGGTTAATGTATATTTTTTAAAACGGCAAAGTGCTTTCGAAGTATGAGTTAAAATCTTACGTAATCAGGCAAAAAACATCTTTCATTGAAGCTTCTTTCTCTTTATATTTAGTATTGTGTTTGTATTGAATTATCTTATTAAAGTTTGTGAACGAATGATTTTAATTCATTCTTTAGTGATCTTTTCCTATTAGATTTTGTCATTCACTCTTCTCTTGTATATTATATGCAATATACAGAAAGTTTGTATTATTTTACATAAATACGTATATTTTTCATTTTTTTTACAAGCTAAATGAACTATGGTTGACATACGAGCGATCAATGTGCGTACTTTTGTATTTTTGTATGTTGTAACCCTACAGATAAACCCTAGTGTTAAGGTTCAATATTTGGAGATATTTTTATTATTTGCATTTTTTTATTAAACTCTTGCTAAATTTTTGTGTGTTTATTGATACCTGCATGTAAATACTGAAAAAATCTAGAAACTATCCTGAATCCTAAATATAGACTATTTTTTTATTACTTTAGATAACACAATTAATACAATAGAAATGTCAAATCTCAAAGTAGTCGAAATAAAATCAGCAAAAATGCACACAGAATGAGATTAAGCCCTCATTTACATAGGCGTTTTTTTGACGCGCGCTAAAGTTCAAATAGCACAAATGTTTTTGTTCATACAGCGCTTTTTTATCGCGTAGTGTTGAATTTTGAACGATGGGCCAATATACCAAGAGTTTTTAAGCGGGAATGTTAAAAAACGCCCGTGCAAATGAGGGTTTACGTGAAAATGTTAAGAATACTTAACTCCAGGTATGACAACGAGTAAACTATGGGTAAGTATAGTAAAATATATTGTATTTTTATGTGGCCTAAAAGACAAACAAAACTTTGTAGGATTATAGATTGGGTTTTGCTATTTCATATAAAAAAACGATACTCGAAAATAGGTCATTTTTAATTTACTCATTCAATAATTTATTTCCATTGGTTAAAAAACTCTTTTGTTGATTTACGAAAATAGGTTACTTCAATTTCCTAAAGCACATTCGACACGCATTTTACCAATTTTTTAGCAGCCCGTTTTAATTAAATATAGCGTGCTGTTGCCCATTGGCGATAAACTGTGGGAATAAACTAGTCCTCACTAATTAGAAACAATTACTGTGATGCTATTACGTGATCAATTTAAACAATCCTTTATCTGAACCTACTATAGTTTGTCTAAATAAAATAGATTAGTTTGATAAATGACGCATATGAAGTATCGAATTCAATTTCTATGGAAGCAAATGCCATACTTAATAGACAGGTATCGTAGTGACGAAACAAACACGCAGTGTTTTTTTTTTAAATTCATAAGTTACAACTATAAATCTTTCTATTCCAACTTCTATAAGAATAAAAATCGAAAA